GGGTGGCTGGGCGGGCTGGCGGCTTGGAGGGCCCCCCGTCCACGGATCGCCCCATGCGCTCGCAGCTGGCATTGGTTGGCCTCTTCGCAGCAGGTCGCCTCTGTGGTACTCGGAAGGTCGATGGTGTCCATCGAAGTTAGAGTAACTGAGACGGACTGCCTTGCCTGGGAATCACTGTGACGGGTTGCCTTGCCTGAGTGTTACTTCCGCGTTTTCAGGCCTCGCCCACCCCGGGAACGCTGCCGCGCTGCCCCGCAGCGACGGCCGCTCTTTTCGGTGCCCAGGGGGCGGCCGTAGATGCACTCCCCCAGCGCGCCTTCCTTTGCTGTTTTTTTGACAGCCGCCCGCTGCCGGTTGCAGGGGCCAGTCGCCCGAAATAGTCGCCCCCCTGCGCGCCGCTCAGCCGTTTTTTTTTTTGACAGTTTGCAGCTCCAGCTTTGTTGCGTTAGGCTGCTGCGCGTGGCCTTCCACGTGGCGCGCCCGACGCTGGCGCGCTCCAGCTCGGGCTGCATCGGCGCAGCTTTGCCGCCCCTCCATCTTCTTCGTGACTTCTGCGGCGCTTAGCAGCGCCCCCCACGCGTGTATACGCTCTCGGCGTGCAGCTGCTATCAAGTTACGTATCTCTTGCGGCGGTTAGCTGCGCCCCCATCTCCACGTCAAGGCGCGCTCTGAGGGCCGCAGGCCGGCCACGGTGTAGGGCGGCGCAGCTTGCGTGGCCTGGTGGATGTCCCCCACTGTGTCACCAGGGCTCGCCCGCGGCGGCTGCAGTAGCCTGAGCGGATGGCTGGGCGAGCTGGCGGCTTGGAGGATCCTCCATCCACAGAGCGCCTCATGCATGCGCGGCTGGCATTGGTGAGCCTTTTCGCAGCAGGTCGACACAGTGGCACTCGGAAGGTCGATGGTGTCCACCGAAGTGAGGGTGACTGTGGCGGGTTGCCTTGCCTGAGTGTTGCCTCTGCCTGCGTTTTTCCTGGCGCACCTCCCGGGCCTTTTCCGCCGGTGCCGACTCGTCCGTCGGTTGCCGCCGGCCCCGCTACTCTGCGGTGGAGTTCGTTGGCTGCGCGCTGAGTGGTTCAGCCTTCAGCACCGGCGGCCTTTGTCTTCCACCGCCAGCAGCCTGTCAACTGGGCTTGTGCCTCGTTGTCTGCCTGGGAGGCGGCTCCGAGCTTGCCGCCGCAAGGGCGACTCCCTCCGTGGCACTCGCACTCCTGGCCGCTTGTTCACTCTGGATTGGGCGGCGCCTAGGTGCGACTGCTTGCGAATGTGGAGCATTTTGCTCAGTGCGCGTGCACCGCGCGCTTCGTGTGCAATTAGCTTTGTACCGCCGTCCCAGACATCGTATGTTGCCGCCAGACCGTTGTCGCGCGGCCGCCGACCAAAAAAAGTATTGGTCCACCTCGAGCTTGCAGTGCGCCAGTCAGTTCAGCTTCACCCAGCCTGCAGCTGCCGTCTGAGTGGGCCGGCTGGCGCGCCTGTCCTAGCCAATTAGCCTCGTTCGTGGCCCGGGCGTTGCCATTGCCGCCTGACCCTTGTCTCGCGGCCGCGACCAAAAACAAGTATTTGTCCACCTCGCCCCAGAAGGGCGCCATCGCAGCGCCAACGGCACCTCCCCCCCGAACACGGTGACAACACTGTGTTTAGCTTCTACAAGAAGCACCTGGTGCAACGGTCAGGGGCAGTCTTCGCGACGCACGAAGCGGCCGCCGAGCTCAGCGGCAAAGCATCACTTTGCCTCCCCATTGGGGATCGTAAACGCAGCGGGTCAAACGAGTGAGGGGAGCGCGGCCATGTCCCTGGTCCACATCATACGCAGCGGGAGCCACCTCGTGGATGTCAGCGACCCCCAACAACTCCCTCCCACTGTCTTGTCCAAGAAGGCAGCTGACATGAGCCTTGCTCTGTCTATCTTCCAGCGGCTGCGCGACTCGCTCGGGTGCCAATCTGGGGATCAAGGGACCGCATGCATCACCTTGGCCCTTCTCTACCGCATGCACCCGTTCCTCATGTTCTTCCCCTCCAAGGCGTACTGCAACCAGGAGCTCCTCAGCGGACTCCTCAAACCCCTTGCCGACCGTCCCCTGGTGCCTCACCCGCCCTGGCCCAAAGTGACGGACCTCGCCCCTAAGCAGTTTGATTCCCTTGCGGGCGTTCTCGGGGTCAGCGCCGAGGACTTGAGAAATGACTGCGCCGGGCTCCACCCCCGCGTCCAGAGCGCGAACTCAAATGACGCTCACCGCGCCCTGCTGGTGGACAATAGGTCAGACGAGCTGACGTCGCACTTCGCCGAAGGGTACGCTAGCATTCCCCAGGCTGCCGTCACGGTCGACCTAGTGCGTGCGCTTCTGCCAGAGCTGGACAAACGCCTCGCCGTCAAAGTCATCGTCCCATACCAGCTACAGAAGGTAATTCTCAATGACGGTTGGCCGCTCAGTCCCCACGCCCTGCAAATTGCAATGAAAGGCGGCAATTGCTGCGACGGTCCCAGCACCGCCCCCCGCCCCCCCCTGAACCTCCTCCCGTCGCGACGAGTCGCCTCGCCGGGCGCCCCTGGTCGCCGCCGCCGCGACGGGGCCGACTCCCTCCACAGCTGCCACCCCGGTGCGGAGCCGCTCGCCCGCAGCTTCGGTCCAGACCTCCGCGTGCGCGGACCCTGTGCCCAGCCCCATTGACCCAGACTACAGCCCTGAACGGCAAGGGCGGGGGCTGGTCTTCAGCTCCTGACCCTCCAGCGTCAAAGGCTTGCGCCATTCTTTCCCCGGCATCCGCCAAGTTGCCCACGAGCGCCTTGCCTCGGGATGACTCACCCTATTCACGGTTGGCGCCAGCCAGGGTGGCGAAGCAGACCTGGTCATCTTCTTCACTGCGCGGTCCAACTCCAAGCACACTTGGGGATTCGTGGACAACCCTAACAGAGTCAACGTGGGGCTCACACGTGCCAAGCGGGGGATATTGATCATAGCGGGCGGCCGCATGATGGCTTCCGTGGCCGATTCTACGCTGCGGCTCCTCTCCAACTACGGTCGCCTCGCAGGCCTCTGGGCGCGGTTCTGCAACCTCTCCAGCCACGGCCCTGGCAATCGCACTGAGCTGCTCCCCGACCCCACCCTCGACCCCATTCGGGACCTCGCCTCTTGGGCGCCGGCGGGGCCCGACACCCTCGCCGCCAACGAGGCAGACGACGCCGGAGTCAGGATCGACCAGGCCGTGGCCAGGAGCCGGGATGAGCGCGCCAGAAGCTTCAACGTGCAAGTCGACCCCCCCCCGGAGGTCGACCATCGCTGGGAAGACCTCGGGCGCCGGATGGAAGAGCAGCGCCGGGGGGCTTCCTGACCGACCCCGCTTTCTTCGTCGCCCTCTTCATGGTCGCGGGGCCCCGCCCCCGCAAGTACAACAGTGAGGGTGTCCCCTCCGACCCTGCGCAGTTCGACAGGAAAGCTTGGAGCCACTTGGTGCCCGTGCGACGTGGGGCTCGGGCTCGACGCTGGCAGCCTGGTTTGCGGCGTGACTTGGGCCACCCTGGTCTGGTCCGTCGGCCTAGGCGCCCCCTGGGGCACCCCCTGATGTCAGATCTCCTCCAACAAGCTTCCCTCGCGGCAGCAGGTCCAGGGTCGAGCCGCTCGGCGGCCCCAGAACAAAAGCCGCTGCACCCCACCCGGCCTCCAGCACCAAGTCGCCCACGCATGGTCCTCCTAACTCGCTCGTGGTGCGCCGCGAGTTTGGCCTGGGCGCCCCGCCGGCTGGGCGTCTTCGGGATGCGGCCCCCCCCCCGGCGATGGTTCGCGCCTTCCCCGACGGCGCGCTCTCCCAGGTGGAAGTGGTCACGCGGCACCGTGCCCCATGATTGCGGTGGGGTGCTGGTTTTGCTTTCGGGGCAATCAGGCCCAGCGCCGAGAAAATGTATGGCGGGAGTGACGTTACTGCAATGTGGGCGCTATCGCCCCCGCCAGTCTGGCCGGTGGTCGTTTTCGCCTGCTTCGTCTGAGCCGCGGTTGAGCCTGCCCCGCCGCTTAGTCTGCACTTTTCCGCCGCTTGTTTGCTGCGCGCTTGCGGTCTTGTGTTAGGCCGTGTAAATTCAGGTCGTTGCTACCCGGCACAAACAATATCCCCACCAGCCCATCCAGAAACGATGTTCATGAGAGCTGACGGGGGTAGAGGAACATACATGCATGGTCAAACAGCGAGGGAGGCCAGCCTGGACGGCGTGTTGAATGGGGCCATCTCCGGGCCCGCGTGGCTTCTTGGCGGCCTCCTGAGGAAGCTCCGTGGCCAGGTCGAGCCGTCTTTGAGCGGTCTTGGGGCCTCTGGGAGCATCCTGTGAGCCATCTTGAGCCAGCTTGGGCTATCTTGAGCCATCTTGGATGTCATGTTGGGCTCTCTGAGGCTGCTCGGGGGCCTCTTTGGGGCCCTTCGGGGGCCTCTTGGAGCCCCGTTGGGGCCGCTTCGGGCGCTCGTGGGACCCTCTTGGGGGCTTATGGGAGCCCCGGAGGGCCTCTTGGGGCCATGTGGAGGCGGTCGTTCAAAAACCGGGGGGTCCTCGATGTTCGTCCCCCCCATCGGGGGCCACGATAATCGTGATGGGGTGTCAAACATTGGCCCTCCCACTGGCCGGAAAAAAGGAGCTTCCGACACCTCGCGAAACCTCCCCCCCAAAAGCCAGGGAGGGGAGGCGTTGGGTTCCCCTCCCTGACCTTCAGAGGGGTTGTGGAAAAGGAGAAAGATTCTCTTCAGACCACCTGTCGCCCAAAGGGCTGGTGGATTTGAGGAGGGAACAGGAGGAGGAGGAGGAGGAGGAGGAGGAGGAGGAGGAGGAGGAGGAGGAGGAGGAAGAGGAGGAGGGGAGGAGGAGGAGGAGGAGGAGGAGGAGGAGGAGGAAGAGGAGGAGGAGGAGGAGGAGGAGGAGGAGGAGGAGGAGGGGATGATCTGATATGTTTCTTTCTGACAGGGTAAACACCGAGAGTCGAGGATTGCCCAAGTAGTTGCAGAGGTCAGGGGCGCCCAAGGCTGTCGACATTGCCCTATCACATGTGCTGTGGTTCTGCGATGGAGGGGGCGGGTCACAGTTGAGGGAATGCTGCGACTTTGGTATGGTGGATCCCGACAGTGTCACAGTGCGTGGTGCTCCCCGTTGCTTCATTGTGTCGACGAGCCGCCGCTCGTGCCTATCATCTCTCCAGGCTTCCCACCATCGGTGTGTCGGTCTCACCACTTTACCGCCGCATCCTGTCGTTGGTCTGTGGAGTGGATCAATTCCCTTCGGCCCTGTCCTGCTCTTCTCTTTTCAGACCAATCCACACAATTTCTTTCGTTGCTATATTCAGCGCTTTTATTCAGCGCTTTTCTGATCTCGCGGGCACATCCAGGACTGGTTGCCAGGCGAGTAATCGTGAGAAGCGTGATTGGGGAGCATTTGTAAACTGACGGGGGACTCTGGTCAAACCGAAATCAGGGATGCTCTTGGAGGTATGTTTTGGGTCCCTTGGGGCCTTTGTGGGCCCCCTTGCCGATTTCTTGGGCCATCGTTGGGGCCATCTTGAGGCCTCTGATGCCATCGTGGGACCCTCTTAATCGAAACATTAAGAGGACAACTGATTGCGAATTCCTTCGGCCGGTGCCACCGACCCTGACGACGACGAAGATGAAAGGGAGGGGGGGTGCAGGGGGAGGAGGAGGAGTGGCAGGAGGAGGAATGGGTGCATCGGTCGATTTCTTCTCGTCGGTTGTCTCCTTTCTCTGCGGCTCATCCTGCCTGAGAGAGGGATGAGGATGAGGAGGAGAAGGAAGAGGAGGAGGGGACGAGGAGGGAAAAAGAGGACGAGGAGGAGGAGGAGGAGGAGGAGGAAAAGAAGGAGGATGAAGAGAAGGACGAGAAATTGGAAGAAGAGGTAGGTCAGGAGGAGGATAATCAGGAAGAAGAGGAGGACGGACAAAAAATGAGGAGGAGAAGGAGGAGGAGGAGTAGAACAAGGATAATGAGGAGGAGGGAGAGGAGGAGAGGAATTCGGAGGAGAAGAATGAGCAGGAGGAACAGGAGGAGGAGGAGGAAGAGGAGGAGGAGGAGGAGGAGGAGGAAATGAGGAGGAGGAGGAGGAGCAGGAGGAGGAAAAGGAGGGTGACAGATGGACGAGGATGATGATGATGATGATGATGATGATGATGATGATGATGATGATGATGATGATGATGATGATGATGATGATGATGATGATGAGGAGGAGAGGGGAGGAGGAGAGGAGGAGGAGGAGGAGGATGATGATGATGATGATGATGATGATGAGAGGAGGAGGCGAAGGAGGAGGAGGAGGAGGAGGAGGAGGAGGAGGAGGAGGAGGAGGAGGAGGGAGAGGAGGAGGGGAGGAACCTCTTGGAGCCTTGGTGTGGGGGGGTGCTCTTGGAGAGCTCCTGAGACGTCTAGGAGGCTTCTTGGATCGTCTTGGGGCCATCTTGTCCATGTTGGGCCGCTCTTCGAGCGAAACGGGGTCTTGTGTGCAATCTTTCGAGCCATCTTCGGCATTCTGTGTTCTTCTTAGGGCTGTTCGATATGTCGGGGCCGCCTGGAGTAAAACGAATCTGGGTGGCGACCCCCCCCAGGACCCCCCCTGGGAACCCCCCCTGGGACCCCCCCCCGCGGGGAAGGGATCAAAGGGAAGGGGCTTCCCTTCGACTCCAATACGACGTTGTACAATTTCGCTTTGGATGGCACGCTTAAGGAGGGCCCAGGGAAAGGGACCGGGGACGACGGATACGGCGAGGAGACGACTGTGACGACGACGAAGACGACGAGGAGACGACGGAAACGAGAGCTCGAACGGAGAAGCCCCTCGCACACGCCGACAGGGTCGGCGGATTTTTGAGAGGACAACTCGTTGAAGAACTTGATCCCCAAGCCCTGCTTGCACTAAGGGGTTTTACTTTTTTTCCGAAGAGTGATTGGCCTCGGGAGGGGGAGGGGGAGGGGGAGGAGGGGGAGGAGGAGGAGGAGGGGGAGGAGGAGGAGGAGGAGGAGGAGGAGGAGGAGGAGGAGGAGGAGGAGGAGGAGGAGGAGGAGGAGGAGGAGGAGGAGGAGGAGGAGGAGGAGGAGGAGGAGGAGGAGGAGGAGGAGGAGGAGAAGGAGGAGGATGAGGAGGAGGAGGGGGAGGGAGGGAGGGAGGGAGGAGGGGAGGGGGGAGGCAGGGAGGGAGGGAGGGAGGGAGGGAGGGAGGGAGGGCGGGCGGGAGGAGGGAGGGAGGGAGGGAGGGAGGAGGAGGAGGAGGAGGAGGAGGAGGAGTGTGTGTGTGTGTGTGTGTGTGCTGGGTCTTCGGCTGGCGCTCGCCCGTGTCCGCCTCGCCTCCGCCTCGTGCACTGGCTGGGCTCTCGCCCCGTCGCTGCGAGCGGCGTCTCGTCGCTCCCTCGCCGCCGCGCGAGCGCCGCCTCGTCGCTCCCTCGTCGCTCCTCGTCGCCCCGCCCGGGGACGGTGACGGGAATACGGGTTGGGCGTTGCGCAATGGGGGGGTCATAAAGGGGGGGGGGGCGAGGATGGTCCGAAAAGGTACCCAAGCGGTACCTAAAGAGCCCCCCTGGGGCTCCAGAGGGGCCCGAAAGGGACACGAAAGGGGACCGTTTCTGACCCCCCCCCATTTATGATCCCCCTACGCCCAAGGGGGGCAGGGGACAGGAGTGATGGGAAATCTAGGCGGAGGGAATGGGATGGGTGGCAGGTGGGGCGTTTGGTCGGCAGGCAGTGCTCGAAGAGGACGAGCAGTCTCCCTTGTCTGGCTGCGAAGTCCGAGTCCCTCCTTCTGCTCCTGCTCCTCTTGCTCTTCTTTCCCTTGCTGCTGCCGCCGTCGACTGCCTTCGTTGAACTTCTCGCCTGCAGCACGGGGAGTAGAGAGAGAGAGAGAGAGAGATGGAAGGAGTTGATCCTCACGAGGAACCCCTGAATGAGTGAGCAGGCGAGGCGGATGTTTTTTTTTGCAACGAGGACTGAAGAGGCAGAGAAGGGAGGAGGAAGAAGACCTTGCGGAGCACGGAGCGTGGAAGAAGAGGGAGATGTGGTGGATGTGGCAGTGGACCGGACACGATGTCGTCGTTGACGGAGGGGTGGAGGACGAGAGCCGCCTCTCTGGGAGGCACCTCGCTGTGTGCAGTGCTGCACGTGAACAAGAGCTGGAGGCTGCCGCCGCCCCGCCCTCGCTTATGAGGCAGGCCGCGGGGAGGCCGCGATCCCCTGCGGAGGCCGACTCGGGGGCCCCGCCCAGTGCCTGCCTGCTGTCTGCGGCGGCGCGAGGCTGTGCTGCTGTAGTGACGCCTCTCGCTCCGCGGGGTGCGCGACCAGACTGCGGAGGGCACGGGAGTCGGGTCGGGGGTGGACAGACCTCACACCCTGACATGTCGATTAGTGAATTGTCCGTTTTGGGTTCTCGAGAGGGCGCCGCGGCCGTCATTTTCCAGGCTTGCGCCAGTCAGGTTTGGGCCCGAGGTCGTTTTCACTAAACCACGTTTTGCTAAAGGGGGTTCTGTCCACCCCCGATCGGGGACGCCCCGGGAGTTTTTGGGAAGGTTCGTGAGGGGGCCGGGGCTGCTGGGGGGCGGGCCCACCGGGCCCTGCGGGGGCCTCTTGGATCACGTTGCTGCTTCCTCGGTGGTTACGGGCGTCTCCGGAGGGGGATGAGTGTGTGTCGTTTCTCCGGGTCTGGCTGGAGTGTCAAATGCTCCCCGTTCGTCGCGTCTTCGTTGCGTTTTTGTGTTTTCGTGTGATGTATGTAGTACATGGTTGCCTCTGGGATTTTCCAGGGGCCAGTGGATGAATTTTGAGCGGGAGGACAGAAGCTGGGTCCTTGACGTTTATGGGTCTTCACGGAGGTGTCGCGGGTGTGAGCAGGAAGGTTTTGTTTGCCTTTCTGGCTTTTCGGCGGTTACGTCCGAGGCCTGTGGAGCTCGTTGGGCTGTACTCTTCTGGGTGCTCGTTGAGGCGTGCTTCATGTACATTTCCAAAGCCTTCCTGGGGTCCAGGCGCACCAGCTTCTCGAGCTGTGTGCAGCCGCGGCGAGGAGGGCCCCCCGAGAGCCAGGAGCCCATGGTTCGGTAAGGGGCTTCACTTGGAAGTGGTCAGGGTCGAGGACGGGACGGGGCGATGCGGCCAGAGACTTCTTGTGCGCCCGAATGTGGGATGCGGCCAGGGCTCAAAGACCACTGGCCCATGTGTTCGCCTGGTGGCACGCTTTCGCATTCCTGTCCGATCGGCGAGAGCTTGAGGGTGCAACGACCAGGGGCGGTTGCTACTGCCACGGTTGCAAGCACAGGCTAATTATACCGTTAATGAGGTCAGTGCGTGTTTTTGTGTATTCTTTGCTTTCTCCCTGCCCCTTTCGTTTTCGCGGTCGTCAGACAGAGTGCCTTGTGCCTGGGTTTCTGGGCCCTGCATTCCGCATGTGAGTTTGGCAGTTTTCGACCGTGACTTCTGGGGCGTGCACTCTCGGGCGTTTCCGCAAAACTGTCCTAGAACCCTCGCGCGGTCCGAACGCACCAGTTTGCGTTCGCCGATGCGCGGTTCGTTCCCCCGTGCAACGCCTTAAGTCGGGCCTGTCCCTCTACAGGGGGAGTATTCAATCATAGTCAAAAATAGTATGGGGACTATTTTTTGATTATTTTTAGGCATCTTTTGAATATTTGTGGAGTATTTTTTATGTTTCGTCCCACATCCTCCTGTAGGGGGACAGGCCTGGCTTGAGCAGCGCCCCGAGGAGCAGGAGAGACGCTGCGGGCAGCGAGCGCCGCGGCCACTGGCGGTGGCCCGCGAGGTTCCCCTCGCTCGGGGCGACGCGCGCAGGCCGAAGGGGGCGCTCGCCAGCGCCTCGGCTTCAGTCGGGCCTCTCTCGGAAGTTGCCGCAAAGCTGTCCCAGAGCCCTCGCCGATGCGCCGTTCGTTCGCCCGTACGGCGCCCCGAGGAGCAGGAGAGACGCTGCGGGCAGCGAGCGCCGCGGCCACTGGCGGTGGCTCGCGACGCTCCCCTCGCTCGGGGCGACGCGCGCAGGGTCGAAGGGGTCGCTCGCCAGCGCCTGGGCAGAACTGGCTCATGTTCTCGCTTGTCTCCTCCTCCTCCTCCTCCTTTTTCCCCTCTCGCACCTCCAGAGAAGAGGTCGGTCAGTTCTCTGTACCCGCCGCGTGGCCGATACCACCGGCCCCGGGGGGGGCATTTTGTTAACCTCTACGTCGCCTGAGACACTCCATGGTAGCCTTGCTGAGTAAAGCCCGCCAGAATGCCGGACTGCATGCCAGCCTTTCGTGCATGGCATGCACCACTTGGCGCCGTCTATGTTTCATCCATGGAAGCCTTGCTTGCAATCGCACAGCTGAACATATGTATATTACCTGCCCCCCGCTTTCGCTTCCAGACAAAACCAGGTCATGCCACGCGCCTCTTTGTCAAGCGGCCTGACCAGTACAGGCCGTAGTTTGGCATCGTTTGGTATCTCTTGAAAGCGAGGGTGGTCAAAAGCGAGGTAGGTTTGTTCCCCCCCTAAAGACGGGCGGCGTGCCGGGTGTGCCCCCGATCTTCGACGGTTTGCGAGCGCGGTTCACCGCCTTGGATGAATGCTGAGGCGGGAGCTTGTAGGCGTGCCTGGGGGGCCGTGACGGGCTGGGCCCTCCGCCCCGACGGCTCGAAGTTGGTGAACGAGCACAGGTCCGAGTCAGAGCTGATGCTGCAGCGCGTGCCCGACGCGATCGTGGCGAAAATCCCTGGGATCACGGCGCCCCGCTTTGACAATCAGCCGGCGGGTGTCTTCCCCTTGAGCATGCAGAGGCGTCTTGGGATCGCAGCCCCGGCTTCAAGGCCCTGGTGAAGCGCGCGGGATTCCCGCTTGTCCCGCACTTCGCCGCTGCGGCCCGCTGCGTCGCAGTCGCCGCGCTGCCGCGGGCCATCGTTCTCCCCCCATGCGTGCGCCCTGCGCCCCGTGCATCGATGGCCCCCGCGGGCTACGTCGCCATCGGCCGAACGGGGTGGGCGGGCGACCTGATCGTCGCGCAGCCTTTTTCGCTTGTGCTGATCCGCCATGGGCTTCAAACTGGCCCTTGGCTTCTGCGCCCTCCCACAGGTGGGGGGAAGGCCATGGAACAGGTGATGCCCGAGTTGGCCAGGGAAAGGGAAGAACCAGCCCCAGGCGCCTGTGCGCGTTTTTAGGCGTCCCCCCGTCGAATGGCGTGTCTCCCCCCCCCCCCATGTGGATCGCCCCTGGCGCCACCCTCGCCGCGAGGCGATGCCTGGCCCTCGCCGCTGGGGTTCTGGCCTCGCGCGCGTCTCCTTCGCCCTGGCGGGTCGGAGATCCTCGTGCCAGACCTGGCGCAGCACGCGTGCGGGTGGTGGTCCTGCCCCCTCTGCGGCGGCCCGCGGATTCGCGCTGGGCAGATCGCCGCCAGCCACTTCGCCTAGCGACCCCCTATTTGGCCACTGCGGTGTCGCTGCAGCAGCGGGCTTGCCCGCGTCCTGCTGCGGAAGTGCATCAGTGGGGCTGCTTGCGCTTGCCTGTCAGCCTTCGCGGCCGGCCGCCGCGCCGCCCCATCCTCGGGCCTGCGCCCCCCCCCGGCAGCCGCCCGCTCCTCTGGCCCGCCTCTGGCCGTGAGCGGCGCTGCGGGCCGAGTGCGAACGTTCCGGGCCCGCGGCAAGTGGGGGCGCGCTGCTGGACCTGGGCGCCAGAGATCTTGCCCCTCGGCGCGGCCAGCGGCGCGAACCCGGGCTTCGCGCTTTCGACGGCGCCAGCTGGTGCCGCGCCGAAGATGGCCCCTTCGAGCCTGGCGACGCGTCCAGCGCCTGTTGCGCATGACAATCGCCCCGCCCCGAACGCCACCCCGATCGGGGCGCGCACTGTGCTCCCACCAGGCGGCCTCGCGATCGGGCGGGTGGAGGATGCCATCCGGGATGCTGTGCAACGAATGTCGCCGTAGCGCCGCGCTGTGAATCGCCGCTGGCTCCCTCCCCCCCCGCCCTGCGCGACGTTCAGGCTGCCTCGGGTTTGGACATGCCCATCGTTCGCGCTGGCCGTGACGCTGACGTCTCCTCAGGTCGCCTGCGCCTGGCGGTGGTGTGGACCTGCCCGCTTGCCGCCTTTGCGAGCTTTTTTTGCTGCTTTTCCGCGGCCCCTCGTCTTCGCTGCTTTTTCGCGGCCCCTCGTCTTCGCTGCTCTGCTACTGCCCCTGGCAGTTTGGTAGCTGCCGCGATTGATCCCTAGAGTGGCCCGTTGTGTCGATCGCGCGAGCCTCTCTTTGGTGGCCTTGCTCGGCGGTCGTGCCCTGAGCGTGGCGCCCAGGGTCCCCTCCCCCTGGGCCCCCCATGCCCCCCCTCCGTCCTGGCCCCCGTTTGGCCGTTTGTGCCGCCTCACCGCCCGCCCAACTTGGGCGTGCTCCTTGCCCGCTGCCGCCTGCGCTCCCCCCCCCCTGCCTCGCTGCCCCGTCGCCTAGGCTCCGCTGCTCGCCCGCCGCCCGGGCTCCCTCCGGCCCGGCTCCACTGCCTCGCTTGCCGCCCCGGCCGCCGCCAGCCCGGCTGCTGCCCTTGCCACCGCCCCGTGATATGCCGACTCCTTGCTCGCGCGTGCCCAGCGTGCGAGGGTTGACGGCACGGCGAGTCACCTGACCTTTGACGCTCGCAAAGCAAGTGTGTGTGCGCGTGTGTGTCTTCATGCGTGTGTGTGTGTATGTCTGTATGTCCATGAGTGTGTGTGTGTATCTGCGCGTGTGTGTGTGTGTGTGTGTGTGTGTGCGTGTGTGCGTGTGCGTGTGCGTGTGCGTGTGCGTGTGCGGTGTGCGTATGCCTTTGCGTGCGTGTGCGTAAACGTGTGCGTGTGCGTGCGCGTGTGCTTGCGTGTGCATGCGTGCGTGTGTATTTGCGTGTTTGTGTGTTTGTGTGTATGTGCGTGTTTGTGTGTGTGTGTGTGTGTGTGTGTATGTGTGTGTGTGTGTGTGTGTGTTTGTGTGTGTGGATGTCTGTGTGCGTGTGCGCGCATGTTTGTGTGTGTGTGTGTGTGCTTGTTTGTTTTGTGTGTGTGTGTGTGTGTGTGTGTGCGTGTGTGTGTGTGTGTGTGTGTGTGTGTGTGTGTGTGTGTGTGGTGTGTGTGTGTGTGCGTGTGCGAGTGCGTCCGTGTGTGCGTGTGCGTGCGTGTGGGTCAATTTGCGTGTCCGTGTGTGTGTGTGTGTGTGTGTGTGTGTGTGTGTGTGTGTGCGAGCTTGAAGGTGCTTGTTAGTGTGTTTGTTTGTTTGTTTGTTTGTTTGTTTGTTTGTTTGTTTGTGTGTGCGTGTGTGTCTGTGCGTCTGTGTGTGTGTGTGTGTGTGTCTGTGTGTGTGTGTGTGTGTCTGTGTGCGTGCGCGCGCCCACGCGCGTGTGTGTGTGTGTGTGTCTGTGTGTGTGTGTGTGTGTGTGTGTGTGTGTGTGTGTGTATGCGTCTGTGTGTGTATGTGTGTATGGGGGTGCGTCTGTGTGTGTGTGTGTTTGTGTGTATGTGCGTGTGTGTGCATATGTGTGTTTGTGTGTATGAGTGTGTGTTTGTGTGTGTGTGTGTGTTTGTGTGTGGGGGGGGGGCGCGTTTTCTCCTTCGACTTCGGACGCCGTGTCGCTGCGCGCGGGGCCGCGACGCCAAACAAAATGTGTGTGTGTGCGTGAGTGAGAGAGAGAGAGAGAGAGAGAGAGATAGAGAAAGAGAAAGAAATAAGGAGTGTGTGTGTGTGTCGTTGTCTTCGGAGAACTTGGTTTCCCGGGGGTTTCTCAGCCGCGGGATGCTTTCCAGCAGCTGCCCCTCGCCGAGGGCTCCCCGTGGGTGCCCGAATCCTCCCGAACGGCCGCCGGGGGCCCCAGGATCGACCCGAAAGCTTGACCTCCTCACGCCGTGGCAATCAAATCGGCGGGGGGATTTTTGTCTTGCTGTGCCTCTTGGGGCCCTCCTGTTGGATCCGCGGCCTTCCACGAAGCGACGCCGGATGCAGAGCTGGTGGCGGGGATGGGTGTCGAGAGCCCCCAGGTTCCACGTCCTCAGCGAGAAATCGCCGGAGGGCTGGGCACCGCGTTTTTCTATGCTATCCCGCCCGCCCATCTGCCAGGGTGGTTTTGCGGCGGGACGAAGGATGGATTCAGCCTGGATTTCGTAGCGTTCCTCAAAACCCCCCCAAAGCAGATCGAGCAGTTTGGGAACTGATGGTAAAGGTCGGAAAACGGACCGCACGCGTGTCGCCGCCGTCTCGCATCCAGTGGAGCTGGCTCCCCACGTGTGCTCGCCCCTCCGCCCCCCCCTCCCCCCCTTCTCCATCACCCTTCCTCTATCGTCCACCCTCGTCATCTCGCTGCTGTCTCCCCTCCCCCCCTCCATCTTTTTCGGGAGCGAGAGAAGGGCGCACACGTGCATGAACCCACGCTGGTTTCGAAAGCGCGCATGGCGCGAACGTTCGTATCATCAGGTCGGTGTCGCGGAATGGGTGGAGGAGCGTGTTCATGTACGTGGTTGGGCGCGTCCATTCTTTGTGTGCTCCCTACCTTCGGCCCCCAGCTCCATCACCAGCCTACCACACCACACCATTGCTGTCTTCCCTCGCGAGCAAGTGCAGGAGGACTTTCTGTTGCCTGAACGGGGCGCACCAGAGCCTCTTCCAGGGTGCCTGCCTTCAACGGTGGCCTTGGTGGGGCGGGGCGGACGATTCCGCGGAGTCAGTGGTGGGGGGAGAGGAAGTTGGGGAGGTGGAACAAGTGGAGGGGTGAGGCGGAGGAGGGGAGGAGATTGAACATGGAGGTGGCGGCGAGGGGGCGGAGGACGAAGAGAGTGAAAGGTCCGAGTGTTTATTTCGCAAGCGTGCTCGACAGCGCTGTGTGGAGACCAGACCATGGGGGCGGGAATATTGAGCATACATCAGATGGCAGAGAGCAGGACCTAGAGAACAAAGAGGCGGGGAGGTGATGCAGAAAAAGCCTATTGGAACACCTTCTCAGGAAGGTTTTGCCCTCCCGAGGACGGTTCTTCCCTCCTGAGGGAGGCCGCCCTGAGAAATGCATTCCCCCCAAATGAAAGCTTTCCCTTGTGAGGAATGTATTATTTCTTTCTCGAGGAAGGTTCCTTCCAGAAGAACGCCTTTCCCTCCCGAGGCAGGTTCTTCCCTCCAGAGGACGGTTTTCCTTCCCTCAGGCATGTCTTTCCTTCCCGGAAGATTTACTCCCAACGGTTGAAGGGTAATCTTTCTGGCGGGAGGTTTTTCCTTCCTGTGGAAGGGTTTCCCTTCCACGGGAAAGTCTATCCTTCCTGAGCACTGGTGGTCCCTCCTAAGGGGTTTCCCTCCAGAGGGAGGGCTTCCATTTCCAGAGGAGCATTTCCCCTCCCGAAGGAGGTTTTTCCTTTCCGAGACTGGTTGCCCCCTTGAGAGGAAGGTGCTGGATGCCTGAAGAAGGTCTATCCCTCCCGAGGAGGAGACGGTGGAGGTCGAGGAGGGGCAGGAGGAGCGCAGGGGACACCGGGAAGGAGGCCCAGAGGAGGCTGCTTTGAGGAGGAGAGGGAGGAGAAGGGGGGAGGAAGGAGGAAGGAGGAAGGAGGAAGGAGGCAGGAGGAAGAGGAGGCAGAAGGAGGAGGAGGAGGAGGAGGAGGACGGCGCGAGGCGGCTCGTGAGGACGTCTATGTGGTGCGCGCTGTGTGGTGAGGGCGATGCAGTGCACTCTATGCGGCCGCCCAGCGCACGAGTCGCCCACGACGCGCCCACGGACGGCACCTGGCGGGCACTCGGCAAGACCTCGGCAGATCCAGTCCACATGAGGCACCCACGAGGCGCCCACGGGCAGACACCGAGCGCAACCTCGGCAGGCCCACCCGATCAACACGAGGCGCCCACGAGGCGCCCGCGAGCACCCCGGGGCAGACAACAGCCGAAACCTCGGCAGACCCATCCAACCAACATGAGGCGCCCACGAGGCGCCTAGAAGTAGATCGGGCAGGTCCCTCTACAGGAGGAATAGTCAAACATAGTAAAACACTAGTATGGGGACGATTTCTTCAGTGTTTGTTGAAACACAGTTATATACTACTATTAGGGTGGCATGCCCGTAGGATGACATGCCCGACCTAAGCCTAGAGGTTGGCGCCCACCAACCGAGCAACAGGCGAACTCCTGTCCGACCCATCCAATTCAGCAATAATAGTAGTAATAACCCGCAGTTGCAAGCACAGGTTGGGGAACAACCTTCCTCAGTAGGCAACAACCTTCTCCAGGAAGGACAAGCCGTTCAGAAAGGCAATGCCTCCCTCAGGGGAACCTCCCTGATATAGAAATGCCTTCCTCAGGAGGGTCACACGTTCGCCACTATAGAGAAACTCCCCTCAGGAAAAAACAAAACATCTTCATGAGGGAAAAGCTTCCCTCGGGAAGGCAATACCTTCCTTGGGAGGGAAGGGCCCTCCTCAGGGGGGGCATTCCTCCCTGAGGGAGGAGCACCCTCCCTCAAGAAGGTCAAATATTTCAACCAACCTTCGTCAGGAAGATGTCATGACGGTGCTTGGACGGGTTTTAGGTTTACGCTACCGTTTCGGATGTTTTTTTTGCAGAACGCTTTTTACAAGCCTTTCTCAGGTCCCCATCGTGGGACCAGCACACCTTCTGGAGGAAGGCTGAATGCTTTTCAGGGGGATTGCTCAGGGAGGGTGTGCGGAATTCCGCGGCTGGCTGTCTCGAAGCAAGGATCTAATGCAGAGGGTAGGCATTATTGAGTTGAGGACAAAGCGTTGATGGGCAGATCTCACATGTAGAGGGCAAGGTACGGAGTGGAGAACAGATTGCGCAGAGTACAACATATTATGTGGCCTTCGGCCAGTCTTCATCACCTGCACGACTGGCAGGCTGTTGCTGGTGTGGATGTTGAGCTGTACTCCCCGGCGAAGCACCCGAAATGCCAGGGGGAGGGTGACCATGGATGGGGATGGGTGACGCGGGGGCAGGAGGTGCACAATCCTCGAGGTGGGCGCCAGGGAGTGGTCCGCGCTGGCACCGCGCCAGGCCGCACAGCAGCGTGAGCACGTTCCCCACCTCCCCGGTGGAGCGATGTTGCGGAGCCAACTTCGGACCCCTGTCGGCAACTCTGCAGCGGGGCTCTTTTCGGGAGTCATGTCCTGCGGGTGACCACGTTGTGAAACAGCGCGGCGTTGGATTTCTGGGATGGGTCAGCTGAGACAGCAGCAATGACACGCCGCCGTGGGACACTCACCAGAGTGTCACTGCTGAAGAAGCACCGGGCCTCGGGATACTGAACGAAGAGGCATCACGCCGACGTGCTCCAACCGCGGCGTGTTATTCACATTCCTGCAGATACAGGAGCAGCAGCAGCAGTAGCATAACAAAATGAAGAAACATGATAATGCCAAGAGGGGGAATCGTACGACTAAAAGTAGTATTGTTAGTATCAAGACTAAGAGTAGTACTAATGTGGATAGCAGCACGGATTTCCCAACGACGATACTGATACTGACAACCATAGTATTTATCATATTACCATTGACAAGTAGGATACCCATAATATTCACGGCAAGACGAATAGCAGCACTGATAGTACTAGCACTCGTACTAATCTTGCCAATGCTACTGTTAGTAGTAATGCTGATATCCGTAATTATGGTAACACGAACACCATCGCTAATGTTAACACTGTTATCAATATAGTCAAATTCATATTAGCAAACAACCTCTTAGCAAGGGTAGTGATAATTACCCTGTGACGTACCCAACCCATTTGTATCAATGGAAACGAGGAGTTGGCCGACACTTGCATGGACAATCAACTTGATGTGTAAACTACTTGGGACACGCGTCTATGGCATGATGCGCAGGAGAACCATACAAGAACGAGGGGCGACAGCTACAGGCTCGAAGAGGACATGGGGAGTCGGTAACGCAGAGCAGGAGAAAAACGCGCGGGAAACCGAACCATCAGCACGGCAGCAGCAGAGGGAAGGTGACTGCCGACAGTTTCACAGATCGCAGCCCCCCAGGGCTGGCGAGGTCTAATTTGAGTCTGCGGTGGGTACCCACTGTGCTGTGCCCCTCAGCAGCCCTCGAAAGTGGCGACAGTTTCACAGATCGCAGCCCCCCAGGGATGGCGAGGTCCCGTGTGAGTCCGCCGTGTGTACCCGCTGTGCTGGGCCCCTCAGCAGCCCTCGAAAGTGGCGACAGTTTCACAGATCGCACCCCCCCAGGGATGGCGAGGTCTAATTTGAGTCCGCCGTGTGTACCCACTGTGCTGGGCCCCCCAGCAGGCCTCGAAAGTGGCGACCGCTTCACAGATCGCAGCCCCCCAGGGATGGCGAAATTTAATTTGAGTCTGCGGTGGGTACCCTCTGTGCTGTGCCCCCCAGCAGGCTTCGAAAGTGGCGACACTTTCACAGATCGCAGCCCCCCCAAGGATGGCGAGGTCCCATTTGAGTCCGCCGTGTGTGCCCACTGTGCTGGGCCCCCCAACAGGCCTCGAAAGTGGCGACAGTTTCACAGATCGCAGCCCCCCAGGGATGGCGAGGTGTAGTTTGAATCCGCCGTGTGTACCCACTGTGCTGTGCCCCCCAGCAGGCCTCGAAAGTGGCGACAGTTTCACGTATCGCAGCCCGGATGGCGAGGTCCCATGTGAGTCCGCCGTGTGTACGCATTGTGCTGGGCCCCCCAGCAGGCCTCGAAAGTGGCGACAGTTTCACATATCGCAGCCCCGCAGGGATGGCGAGGTCCAATGTGAGTCCGCCGTGTGTACCCACTGTGCTGGCCCCCCCCCCAGGAGGCCTCGAACGTGGTGACAGTTTCACAGATCGCAGCCCCCCAGGGATGGCGAGGTCCCATTTGAGTCCGCCGTGTGTTTCCCTTGTGTTTGGCCCCCCAGCAGCCCTCGAAAGTGGCGACAGTTTCACATATCGCAGCCCCCAAGGTTGGCGAGGTCCAGTTTGAATCCGCCGTGTGTACCCACTGTGCTGGGTCCCCCAGCAGGCATCGAAAGTGGCGACAGTTTCACAGATCGCAGCCCCCCAGGGATGGCGAGGTCCCATTTGAGTCCGCCGTGTGTACCCACTGCGCTGGGCCCCCCAGCAGGCCTCGAAAGTGGCGACAGTTTCACAGATCGCAGCCCCCCAGGGATGGCGAGGTCTCATTTGAGTCCGCCGTGTGTACCCACTGTGCTGGCCCCCCCCCCAGCAGGCTTCGAAAGTGGCGACAGTTTCGCATATCGCAGCCCCCCATGCATGGCGAGGTCCCATGTGAGTCCGCCGTGTGTACCCAATGCGCTGGGCCCCCCAGCCGCCCTCGAACGTGGCGACAGTTTCACAGATCGCAGCCCCCATGGATGGCGAGGTCCCATTTGAGTCCGCCGTGTGGTCCCACTTTGCTGGGCCCCCCAGCATCCCTCGAAAGTGGCGACAGTTTTACATATCGCAGCCCCCAGCTGGCACGCAGCGACGAGTGAGGCAAAAAGGCAAGGGGGAAGAGAGGGGCGGGAAGGAGGCACGGCGACGCGCGAGCAGTGCTCTATTCAAAACGAGAACCCAACGCAGGAGGGTTGGGAACATCAATGCCACTATTGACCAGCAGTAGTAGTAGTATAACAAATTGTAGTAGTAGTAGTAGTAGTAGTAGTAGTAGTAGTAGTACTACTACTAGTAGTAGTAGTAGTAGT